ATGATGATGATGATGATGATGATGATGATGATGATGATGATGATGATGATGATGAAATAACCTGCTCACCTGTGACTGCACATTGCCTCCCACCGGGGAGCTCTGGTAGGAGGTCAACGACTGCAAATTTATGAAGGAATCTCCGGAATTGGTCATCTTAAAAGAGCCAGAGGAAGCTGAATCACAACGAAACGAAGAGAAAAATCAGTGCAAAAACGTGTATTTTTAATTCTGTGAGCATTTCCAACCATTCATGGCGCTCATCGTCACGGGAAGGAATTGGAGACTTCCAAAGCTCTCTCCCTTACCCGAATTTGGTGTCGATGGGGAGTTTGCCCGGTTGCCCTGAGCCACAACATTGGTTGCATCCACTGCCGTTTTCGCAGCGTAAATGTTGGCTTCTTCTTGGAACTTCCCCATGTTCTTCTTGTACCGAATTCTTTTGTTACCAAACCAGTTGGAAACCTGGAGATTTACAGCCCTGTTACCATTCAAACCATTCCATTACCCGTTACGTTGCCGACTCAGCAGCAAAAATAATGTTTTATAGTAGGGCTCAAGCCAAAAAAAACCAACCAAAACCCTTTGGAACAACATAAATGTTCTTTGTTTTCTTTTAGTACCGACAACTGAAACCTATTGCTGGCTACAGGGGACAACCCAGCAGAACTCAGGTGTGTTTATATGGTCTGAGATCCACTCTCACGTTCATCTGTCACCAAGCCATTGCTGTTCCCTTCCCAGCTGTCCTTGACGTTGTCTGTCTGTAGGTTTTCCCCATTTTTCCTCGCATTTCTTCGCGCCTTCACCTGACTGAGAACAGTTTTCCATCCATCAGCCCCTGGCTCTTGGAGCATCGCTTCGAGTTCCCCTTGGCTCGCTTGTTTTTGTGCCCCTAAAGCTCAATTTCCTCACATGGCATTTCCTAGATGAATCCAGGGCTAGTTTTCATGGAACCACTGAATCACTGGGAGTTGGATGGGGACCCTTAGCAGCCACTCGGCCCATCCTAACGGCCTTTTCCAACCTTAACGCCTCAAGGAAAGAAACAACGACTCCCGATCAACTGCTTCGTACCTGCGAAACGGTGATGCCACCCTTCTTTGCCAGCTCCTCTTTGGCCTCTTCGCTGGGGTAAGGATTGCTCAGGTGTGAATAGAAATACTCATTCAGCACTTCTGTTGCCTGCTTGCTGAAGTTACGCCGCTTACGTCTGTGAAAAATCACAATTATTCCTACCTGCACGGCCGTGGGCCTGCTCTAAAGTACATCTGCTTCGAGGAAGAATACATTTATATCCTTTGAGGAAGAATATATTTAATTCCACGTGGTTTTGATATGTTTACGTCAAGGTAAGTAGGCTCGGCGTGAACGACAACCCATCAGATGTTAACACTGGAACTGACAGCAGTGGGAATGAGGTTTCCTACGCGATTACTGGCGCTGAGCAATAATTAAAGCCTCTTTTCGTCGTACCTTGCATCGAGGAAGCGCGAGCGGAGGATCATCACCGCCTCGCACGTGCTCTGCTTCAGCTGCATCTGGATGGTGCTGAATTTGCCGTGGATGATGTTCACCATCCGCTCGATTTCTTTGGGAGAAATGGGTCTGGTCCGGCTCTGTTCCCTGAGCAGGTTCATGACATGGGTGGTGAACTCGCTGCAGGCCTGAAAGTAAAGATATTTGTATCGAGAAACGACGAAACACCCCCCAAATGAATTCCCCCCAACAAGAGTACATATCCAAAGAAAACAAAACCAAACCAAAACAGAAAACAAAACAGAGGACTTTTCACGTTTCAGCTTTATCCGTATTTACTCTTAAAAACACTGCAACAAAGATAAACGAGACATTAATTATCTTGATGTCCAGTCCCTCTATTCCACCTTAATTCTGTAGAGGTAACGAATATCATCTTTACTTTGACGTCCCTCTATTTCATCTCATCCCTGCAACGCTGAGATAAGCTCCCAAACAAATGTGACACAACCTCGCGTCGAACTGAACTCATTTACACCTCCTGCTCCGTCCTTAAAACCAACACCGAAGGAAAAAAGAATGATAATAATAATCATAATCATAATAATTAAAAAAAAAAGGGGGGTTATTTTCAATTGAGATGATAAAAACTCTTCCATGCAGAAAGATCACCTGTTCATATTTCTCTAGCTCAGAGTGGTAAATCTGTCGGATCTGTGACAGCTTGGCCCTGTAGTCAGAGTGCTCAATGCTATTGTCATTTGGACAGCCACCTGGTGTTGCTGCTACAGCCATCGGTGCTCCTCTTCCTCTTTTCTCGGGGCCGGAGACGCCCTCCGCCAGCAACATGTTATCTAGTCTCATTAGTTGGGCATCGGGGGGGTCTTCTTCCTGAATACCACGAATACTTAACACTGGGTAGATATAAAGAGGGAATCAGAAGGTTATTTCCGGGACGGGGAAGAGAGTCTGCTTTAGTGGTAGAGCATTTAAAGACCAGGCTTCTATCTCCAGGTCGAGGAAAGAAGGAGCGTTTAATGAAGGTATGGTGCAGTACGTACAGAGAAAACGTGGATCAGAGGGAGAAACGGGGAACACCTTAAAGGTTTAAGAAGAAATAATCATGGAATGGGGTTGGGTTGGGTTGGGAGGGTCCTTAAAGATCAAAGACAGACTATGGGAGGTGGATGAGATGCCTGAGCCGCTACAGCCGCCGTATCTCAGTGCCTGGGGGGTGAAAAGGACGCCACGCAGATGTGGGATCGTGCTGAATTCCATA